AGATTGCTTGGTTGTCAGGCGAGACAAAAGACAATTGGTAATGGTTCCTCGACTTTCTTCTACGCTTGCAAAAAGTACAGCATTTGTTATCTCCGACCGTGACAAGGGTCGAATCCCTGCAATGAAAATTAAAGCAGGCGATACCCCTCACATTTTTGTGTTCGGCACATGTTCGAGAACCTCATCGCTAAGTTGTGCATGCGACACTAACGGACCAGGCGTGGAAGCTGGATAGGCCGTTGACGGTTGCGTCCTTCGAAAGGCGAGAATGTGAGTTGAAGAAATATAATGGAACGGCGGTGCAATGGCTACTCGATGCTGAAAAGTTTAAATGGGCTGCCGCGTATAATACGTCCGCGATTGGGGGCATGACGAGCAACGACGAAGAGTCTGTGAATACCATCTTCTAGAGAAAAGCTACTTATGGACTGTCTCATGACAATGGAAAAGTAGACAGGGATCAAGTAAGTTGAGTTTGTCGTCAAGTCGGATTCGTAGGGAGAGCTCACGGCTTATGTAGCCAAGGAATTCGAGTGCAAGCGCTTTATATCTGTCGCTGGAAAGATCGAAAATATTACGAGTTACCAGTCATCCTTTGTGGTCAAGGTGAGAATATATGGAGAGCTGACTGTCGAGTATTCTGTAGATATAAGCAATCCAGGAAAACGTATTCTTGTGGGTACTTTGGCGACATGAAAGGGCCATGTTATCGTCCTTATACGGCTCTTTGATCCGTCAATAATCTCTCGCTACTCAAGACTTCCCGCGGTACGTCGTGGGCCAAGGAGGCGTAACAGCGTGCTAAAGACCCCTTGGTATAGATGAGTCCATGCGTGACGAAGGATAAACTGACGCGTTTAGAAAAGCACCACGCACTCATGGTGCCAAAGAAGCATGACCGCCAGAAGAAGTCCAAACGAATCGAGTCTCAGGCTACCACAGAGACTTCAAAACGAAGCGCACGAACAAGTGCACTTCATTCGGTAACTACGGCGAGAACAAGCGCACCTGCAAGGGCTAATCTCTCCGTTGTGGTAACCCAATATATTTTCATATTTGACATAGACTGTAAACTTCTTTTGTATACTTTATATGTTTTTCATAAACTTCAGTGATTTTGCTCTATTCACATAAATTTGCAATTTCGTTCGTGAGATATTCGTTTTGGTATAATTTCATATTTTTATGGTTAGGTAATATAAAATCCCCTTCTTTTTACTTTTGGTATAAAACCTGAAGGTTTTCTAAAAAGCTATATATGACCCCATGATCCATTGATTCTACAGTATATCAATGTAAAAAATATCTTAATCGATGATATTGATCGATATCGCCGGGCCGACGAAATATTGATGGAATAGTACAATTAAGGGTTATCTTTACTTGGCCGCTCCACTTATTGGTTGATACAGCCTATGGTATCAATTTTATCAACCAAATGAATTTCCAATCGCTGCTAGATGCGCGTAATGGGCAATGAGCGAGAAACCTACACAGGACATTGTAGTTTAAAATACTTCATGTTAGGCAAAGAAGGTAAATAAAACTCAACCCTATTAAATGCAGTTCTACTTATCCCTACTCGAGCATCCTTTGCTCAGCTCTCTTCCTCGCACTTTCACAATGCTCACGTGTAAGTGACGTTCGGGAGCATGTACCAATGTGCTAAAAATAAATACAAGAGCTTACTAAACAACTTGCAAGAAGCAGGTTACCGTTTACAGCACGGACTCGTAGGATCTAGAATGCTAGAGCATTCGGACCTTGCTGTACATTTGGCATTATGGGGGAACAGAGAAGGACCGGTCAGATCGGAAGACGAAGGCATTGGAAGTCGGACTCTACTTTGCCGCTACAATACAACTAACGCGCTGGATCTTTGCTGCGGCCTGTAAAGAGCAACCGCTCGAAATGAAAACACACCGAAGAATGGACAGTTCAGAAGCCTCGATAGCCGCGTGAGTGCTAGAAACAACCAAATCGCATACCGATGAACGGTCGCAAAGTGTGGCTGCTGATTCGGTTCGCCTTGTTTCACGATCTAGTGCCGCAGCCAATTGCAGACACGATGGTTTCTGCTCTTGATCGCCATTCTTGACGAGTTCGTATCTTCTGCATCTTACAGCCTGTAATTTATTTCATTGGGATGTGTATCGTCAATCTGCACCTGTCTCTCATCCAGTGTCGCTTGTCTGCTAAATTTGCTGGACCTACTACAGTACACTCTTAGCAAGTATTCCTTGTTTTCCCTACTAGGCTGTCAACTTCACTGGTTACCGTGATAATGCACCGTCGCGATCTTTCAAAAGGGTAGCCGGAACGCAGAAGCGAAAAGCACAAGAGCGCACTTTTTCGTAGAATGAAGGCCAACATAATGCTGCAATGCCCATCTTGATCAAGACCTCATTTTAGTATGGCGCATATATTCACATCGTCCATGTAGCCTCCAAACGCGCTAACTTCCACTGGCGCTCGTGCCTTATACTCTGCTGCACAACGGCCATATGACGTCCTGTCGTGTCGACAAGCGACAGCGCTCCCCACAACGAGTTTTGTAGCTGCGCAAAGATGAGAAGGACGTCCAAATTTGTGGGATTCTGATGTTTGTCAGCTCGAGCAACTGCGAATACACACTCAACATCAGATCGTTACGTACGATTCCACCTATGATCGCACGTCATATGTACAACAGACGCTTGTTCTGCAACCTGCGCGTTGTTGACTTTGACAGCTCTGCCAGTAATATGCTTGTGTGGAATCACTCACTGCACGAGTCTAGAGACCAGATGGAAAGTCGCGTTCGAGGAAGTGCGTTGTAGATACTCATTCACCCACGATGGCGCACCGTATCCCGCTGACGTCAGGGCAATAGCGTATGCGGTCTCACGGCTGGTAGCAAACAACGATGAAAACACATTTTGCCGTCTGACAAGTGACGCCACGGACTCAGTCTCGATGCCGATGAATCGATACAGAAGTGCCCGCAGACTTGACGTGATTGCAGCAGGAAAAAAAGGCGCATATTTGCACTAGTTTGGATACACTTGGTCATCTGACATCGTAGCCACACGCTTTGCATCCAGTGGTCGCAGTGCATGCTCTTCATTTCTCGTCGAGTTGAAATTCGCCAGCCCTGTTCCGTAGGTCTTTCTTGAGTGCAGCGCGCCTCCTGGATGTAGATAGCGCCAAAGTGTCGTCGATCCATCGGATGCAGCGACGCAACGGTTCCGTATGCCACGTCGTTCTTGCTACAACACTGACCCTTTTTCGAGTTTGTTCTCATACCACAGCTTGGAGGTACGTGGGGTCGTTCGTCAAGCAGACACAGGGGGTCGCATTGCTTGCCGTCTCGACACTATTTTCTGCTACTGTTCATCGAGCTTCCGACATTGCGCCAGCCAATGGGTGCAACATTGCAGCCCAACCGACCTGCGTGACAAGGGCGATCAATCTGTTGACGACGACCGTCCTCATTGGCGTGACAAAGTAACAGAGGTGGACAAAAAGCGCAGTGGCGCTGACCTTACAAGCGGTCGTGCCAAGATGGCCGAGCGCAAACTTCCTTGGGCAAGGCACATCATGCAGAAGCGACGACATGGGGTTGTCCGATCGACGGTCGTGTCATGTTTGCACAATGCCTTGCAACTCTTACTTGTCGTCCGTACGTCTTCCCATAAAAGCGCCCGGTGTCCTGCGTGCATGGCAGTAGTCGGCATGCTCGACCACATGCTAACGCACTGTAGCACGTGCGTTCGTTCCAGATGGATCGTTCACGGGGCGGAGCAAGGTAGATACCGTTAGTGTTCGTTGACGTTGGACCCAGGATTGACACCATCGCTCCTCACGTGCTTTCGTGCCTGCTGAGGATAGGCGTCATGTGGCAACAGCACGCGCTGCCGTCAACAATAGCGCTGTTTTTTCTCCTGCACGAGCTGCTGCTGACACGGAAGGGAAAAAACCTGTCAGGTACAGTACCGTCATATCGCTCTGCAAACAAGTCTGGACCGGACATGGCGACAAGTGGAGCGAAGGGCCAGTCGAGCAGACGACTCGACCACCAATGAGCCCACGCGATGTGCAAGGCCGCTACTCATCCTCTGACTCAGCTATCGAGCTCATCCGATTGCAGCGGTCGACTGGACCTTAACCTCAAATAGGCCCACGACGAGCTCAACTTGCTCCACATGCAGGTCAACGGACCTGCAAAGAGCTGACCGGCGGGATGCAAAAAACGGCAGTGTCGGCAACGATCCGACGAAAGCCCATCCGTGATGCCCCACCGGCGTGAGAAAAACACACCCGCTCGTTCCTTTGGCGGCTCGATTCTCTTCGGATCGGCCGTTCTCGCGCGATCGTCGGGGACACACACATGATGGGCAGTGCGAATAAAAGCGATCGTGGCTTCCTCGTTGGGCTGCAGCGGCTCGCGGTCGAGCCAGCAAAGACCGGACGCTTCGGCTGAAACGTCTTTGCCGTTTAGCGGTAAAAACACGCGCTCAAGTCGCGAAAGCGTGTTGTTGCAAGAAGCTGAGTCGCAAGCTGCTCACGAGATCGTCAAGTGAGTGAACGAGACCTGGCGTTCAATCGATCGATCGATCTAATCGATCACTCGGTCAGTCGGTCAATCGACCAACCAACCGACTGTGGACGTAGTTTGGAGTGTGCAGATTTCCAAAGACCGACCGAGACCTGAAGTGGTCCCACTCGTTTGGCCACACGTCTCGAGGGGTCTCTCTCTCTCGACCAGGCTGAGCCCACCACGCCAGCTGGAAGCGCGACAAGCTGCAGTAACGTCAGCTGGTACGGTTTCCACCCGGTCGTCGGGACTTGCGAGGAAAAAAAACGCCACGAGCGACGCGTCTGAGTCCGTCGCCCGTGCGTTTTCTCACCCCCGAGAGCTGAACAAAGTCTGCCACTGCCACTGCCACTGCCACTGTCACTGCTGTGCTCACTTTAGCTTCTCCGTCGTCTCGGCGAACGACCTGTGGCGTGTCACACTAATGGATCGGGAGCACGCGAATCCAGGCCACCGCTTTCCAAGTGGACGGCAGCCGCCGCGTCGGCACGGGGACGACCTCAAGCTCACGCCCAGTCAGAACGTCCAGCCGTTCGTCGATATCTCGACGCCGTCGCTCGTGCTTGCGGACCGAAAGCCGGTGCCAGCGCGCACAGCAGCAGCCCATGGCACAACCTCTGCCGGTCACGACGCAGTGGCTGCATCCCCTCTGCCCCCGTCGCGGCCCCACGCGCGGACGTCGAACCTCACGGACAGCAATCAGTTCATCACTGTGGACGCGACGACTGCGAACTTTATCGGACGTGGCCCCCCGCGCCTGAGCGCCAACTGCACGCGCACGAGAGGCAAACGCCGTCGCCGCGTCAATGTCCAAGCGATGCTCCGGGCCTCAACAGTGCGCCAGAGTCTCGCTCGGTCGTCGATGGCGTCGAGGGTATCGTCCGTTGAGGTCGCGGGGTACGGTCCGCCGTCAGTGAGTTCGCTGATATCGACGCCGGGCGTCGGTAGCTACAAGTTCGAGCCAAAGAGTTACAACGTGGCCATCAGTATGCACAACACGGGCGGCGGCGGTCTCCTGGACACGAGTGACGCGGCGCACACGCCACTGGAGCAACTGCAGGCGCTGCGGGACGTCATGACGACGCTCACGTCGAGAGGCGGCTGTATCGAGCGCAAGACGTTTTCCCAGGCGTTCGAAGTGGGTGAAAACGAGTACGAAGGCTATGCGACCAACGACGGCACGATCAATGGCCATGCGATCCTGATTGACGCGGTCATGGACCTCGAAGTCGAGGCGGAAGAGAAGCTGCGGTTCATGTTCCAGACGCTTGACCCGGACAATGCTGGCTGCGTGGCGGAAGACCAGATTGTCCAGCTCCTGGAGTCGAATTTCTCGGAAGCTCGATTGGACGTGGTTGGCACGGACTTTAAGACAGTGGCGAAGCTCATGTTTCGCCAAGCTCGAGCCAACGACGAGACCATGTCGTACGAGCAGTTTTGCACCGTGTTTGCGCCGTACATTAACGACTCGTACAATCTCCGCAAGTCGGAAGCCAAGGCCACGGCGCCTCTCCTTCCGAAAGGCAAGTTTGGCGTTTGGTACTGCGCCAACAAAGTCCGGATGTGGTGGCTCCTTGTGTACGTTCTCGTCAACAACGTGGCGTTCTGGACAAAGTGGTTTTCGTGCGGCGTGGATCCTGCCATTGGCTGGGGCCTGCGCATCGCACGGGCCAATGCCCAACTTGCCATGCTCAACTGCGTCTTCGTGCTGCTCCCCATGTGCCGTTCCATCACGCAGGTCATGAAGCGAAGCCGGTTTCTGTGGCGCTACATTCCCTTTGACGACAGTATCGCGTTTCACAAGATTGCAGGCTCTGTGCTGCTGACTGCCGGCATCGTTCACACGGTCGCCCACGTCTTCAATGAGGTGAACCTCTTCCTGGTCGCGACACCGGACGAAGTCGCGCACTCGGTCTTCGTCACGCGCAAAGTATCTTCGTTTGTCAATGGCAAGCTGCCCCCGTTTACGATCATGATCCAGTCGCTTCCGATCTGGACGGGCGTGATCCTGGTCCTGATCACGTGTATCTCGTTCCCGCTGGCCGCGATTCCCAAGCTCCGCCAGGGCAAGTTCAACCTCTTCTGGTACTCCCACATGCTCTTCGGGCCCTTTTTAGTCGTGCTGGCGGTCCATGGCGCTGCCTCATGGCTCGCTCGCAGCTCCTCGTACATGTGGATCACTCCCCCCTTTCTCATCTACCTGGTTGAGCGTCGTTTCCGCTACACCAAACTGTTTGCCGCGCCAGTACGTATCAAGGAAGCCATGGAGTTGGACGGCACCGTTGCGTTGTTCCTGGAGAAGCCTCGTCGTTTCGAGTACCGCCCGGGCATGTACATGTTTGTCAATTGTCCGCTGATTTCTCCACACGAGTGGCACCCGTTCACGATTTCATCGGCCCCTGGCGACAACTACCTCAGCGTGCACATCCGTGTTTGTGGTGACTGGACGCAAGCTCTGTCGCGTGTTATCTCAGGCTGTCATGCAGGCAAAGGGTTGTACCCGGACATTTACCTGGACGGTCCAGTCGGTGCTCCGACTCAGGATTATCACCGCTACAAGACTGTCATTTGCGTCGGTGGTGGTATTGGTGTCACTCCATTCGCTTCGATCTTGAAAGACGTGGTGCACTTGTGGGAAGACAACCGGTGCCGCAACTGCAGCCACGTCCGGCACCCGGGCACGTTCAAGATCCAGAAGCTGTACTTCCACTGGGTAACTCGCGGACAGGAGTCGTTGAGCTGGTTCGAAGAGACGATGAACCAGATCTCGGAGATGGACCGAGACAACGTGATTGAGACGCACCAGTACCTGAGCACATTGAAGGGCAGCGAGAACACGTCGCAGCTGAAGATGTTCCAGGAGTTTGTGCACGAACAGACTGGGAAGGACATTGTGTCAGGACTGAACACGAAGCAGCTCACGCACTTTGGCCGTCCCGACTGGGACAAAGTGTTTGCCGAAGCTCGCGCGAACCATCCGGGCGAGGAAGTCGGCGTGTTCTACTGCGGTCCGCACGTGCTCGAAGAGATTTTGGACAATGCTTGCAAGCGGCACTCGTCTTTGGACGCCCGTGGCACGATCTTTGACTTTCACTCGGAGAAGTTTTCCTGACGGATTGGTCGGTCACACACAGCACGGACGAAAGGAAGAGGAAGGGGAAGCAAAGGGACGAGCGAGCCGCCTACTGCGTGTTGTCGACTATAAGGCACCACCAACACAGTATCGGTCAGCTCGCTTCGTCGACGAAATATTACACTCGCGTTTGAATTGTCCGACGATCGCCATCATCGCTTTGCTTTTGTAACCCGAATTTTGCCGCCGCTCATTTTGCGCGTGTCACTCACTACATACTGAGAAAAAGAGCGTGTGAAAAGTGACTGTTCCACTTGCTGCATCATGTCCAGCAAGAAGGTACTTGTTATTGGAGGCGCTGGCGCTTTGGGTCGTGGCGTTGTTCACCGCTTTGCGCGTGCGTCGTGGGGCACCACTTCAGTGGGCTTTGCAGCGAACGAAGAGGCAGAACACAACGTGCTGTTGCCCAAGGACAACGTGCTCCAGCAGGCAAAGCAGACGCTGCATGAGATCTCCAGCAGGTATGGTATCGTAAAAGTATCGTATCGTAAAGTATCGGTTTGTATCGTAATGTATTGGATCGTAGAGTATCGTTTCGTATCGTATAGTATCGGATCAGATTGAATGGCATCGTATCGTATAGTACTGCATCGTACAGTATTATCATGTGGGTACAAACAGACTGACAATGGATCATGCGTGAGATGGAGCTGACTCGGCGTGCGTGCACAGATGTGGCAACGTGAGCTCTGTCGTGTGCACAGCAGGAGGCTGGGCAGGAGGCAGCATCCGTGATGCAGCTTCGCTTGCGAATCTGTCGGACATGACGGTCCAGAACCTCGAGTCGGCCTTCTTAGGTGACAACATGTGCTTCCAAAGAGAGCGAGATCTCGAGGCAGAGCTTGACTCGGACTGCAATGGCTCAATGACGATGGCTTCTGTTGCTCCCCTGCTTGTCCTTCTTTCTTAGCGACGTACTTGGCAAGTCACCTGCTCGTGCCTGGAGGTTTGCTCGTTCTGACTGGGGCGACGGCAGCGCTCAAGGCGACACCGGACATGGTGTCTTACGGAGCCAGCAAAGCGGCGACACATCATCTGGTTGCTAGTGCCGTGTGAGTCTGGTGGACAATTCACGTACAAAGAAATGATCATGCCCTCGTGCGCTAATCGTGCGGCAAATCTGCAACACGTGATGCTTGTGACAGGACTGAGCTGCCGGAAAAAGCGTCAGTGCTGGGCGTGCTGCCAGCGACGATCGATACGCCGATGAACCGCCAGTTCATGGCCGACGCCGACTTTTCGAGCTGGACCAAGGTACGGAGGTAGGACGACACAGTGTAGAACATCGTTGATCGCTCACCCGTCCACATGGCCTGACGTGCGCATGGCGGATGGAATCCAGGTGGAGGATATTGCCCAGAAGATCTACGAATGGTCGATTGCTTCCCATGCTGCTCGTCCTCCAAGCGGACACCTGATTGCCTGCGCCACGAAGAACAATAAGACGGCTTGGACGGACGCGGGCAGTCCATTTATGTAGAAACGCGGGCTGCCAAAACAAGTGCGAGCAGATGTGCCATCATGCTGCGCCAAGGCCTAATGGACTGATAATCCCAGTTTCTGCTCGACTCGGTGCAATTTTGACAGCTATGGCAGTACAGTGTCTTCTTCCGAAGCGATCATATCCCATTCGCACCATTGGCAATAAGCTTGCGCTTGAGGTGGTAGCAGAATGTCTTCAATGCGCGCTTAAATTTACGCGAGTTGTCAAAGCATGTAGGCGTGGAAACAAGATCGAAGAAATCGGTTCGTGCGCGCTCACTGACTTGCGATCCTGCAAAACTCGTGTCGGACAGAAGGCGATGAAGAAGCGCTTCTGCTCGTTGTCGTCCAAAATAGACCCAACAAGACCGGACGACCTCCGCGATCTTGTTCACCAAGTTGGGTGGCGTGTCTCGTGCCGCGGCAATGACCAGAGCAACCAGCAGGTGGTACTGAACGTCGTTTTCGAACAGCAGCGTCTGGATGTGCTGATAGAGCAGCATTTTGCCTGTAAACTCAGGACCTTGGAGCAGGTGTTCCGGAGTACGACGAATCTGGCCGTACAGCGAGCCCAACTCGAGCAGGAAATCGAGAGCCGCAGCTCCGACTTCAGGATTTTGCGACTTGAGTGCATGTAACGTCAGCACCAACACACCCTCTAGCTGATTTGACTGAACCAAGACCAACGGGCGATGAGTGCCGCACGTCGCCACCAGCAAAAACAGCGCAATCGTGAGCCCAGGGTTGTCATCGACACTGCTATCTGCTGCGATCTTGCTCAGCGAGCTCTCACTCGCCATAACCATCACTTGAGTCAGGCTAGCTGCTGAAGCCTCGTCATTACCGGCGCAACCAACGATGCTTTGGATTACACCAAGATAACTGCCGTCATGACTTCGTACCACTTGTTCTACCAACAGTGGCATAATTGCAGATGCCAGCTCCAACGCTTGGAACCGTAAAGAGTCGAAGACGCCCACGAGTAGTGCACATAATCGTTCAGCTGCTTTTTCACAGCAGCCGTATACGCACACAATGGTGCGTAAGACTTCCCATTGTTTTTGCAACACACAGAGAACAGGATGTGGAGTCTCTTGGTCGACCTGCATCGGAACCCTTGTGGCTAATACGGTAAGGTGGTCACATGTCTCACACACAAAATCTACTGAGCCCACATTGTCCACGCCCAGCTGGCTACAACGCGCTGCAAGGTCTGCAAACATGATAGCACCGAGCTCGTCTACCACAGGGACGGCATCCTTATACGATACGGTAGCGAGGATATTGCAGATTGAGTCCACGACCAGTTTCGCGCTTTTTCCCGTCAAGCGTTTACACGTTGACCCATCTACAGCCGCCCGATCCGAGCGGTACAAATTCACCAGTGCATCCATCCATAATGGATTGAAAAAATGCCGGCCGCATCGAAGTGTCAGTTTACACAGTGCCACAACCCCAACGTGATCTTCTGAGCCATGCTGACTAGTCGAATATCCAGCATCATTTCCGGAGAGCTCAAAGCTGTTCGAAATAATTTGAAACGCGTTCGTCGACAAGTGCTCAGGGTGTCTCGCAAACCAGTGACCAGTCGTACCAGTAAATATGGTGATCGTGCGTGTGAGTGCGTGGTAGGATGGCTCCTTTCGTGACAAGTATTCAAACAGCCTTGGAACGATCGATGTGTCTTCTTCGCGAATCGATTTCGATAACGCGCTAAGAGCGTGCACGTACACTTCTGTGCGTTGCCACCACTACACATCACCCAAGACCACCAGTCGTGATAAAAGCACCGTGTCAATATCTAAGATATCCACTCTACTAGTCGCGCATGTTGCACGTACATTTGATTGCAACGGGTCACTCGAGTCGGCGGCTTCGTACTGTCGAAAGATCGCGTGGATAGCATCTACAATGAACTCGTCTTCGCTGGCAACTGTAACGGTAGCAAGGGCACGGAAAACGTTGCGTACTTCGCTTCGGTACAAGTGGTAGCGCTCTTTCGCAGCTTCCGAGAAATGGTCAAACCCTTCGGGATACCTGGTCCGCTCGATGAGAATGGCCAACAAGCGTGAGATGAACGGTTCGAACATGCGCCGATGCTGATCATGCTTGCCCGACACATACGTACGAAAATAGATCCAGAAACCCATCGTCTCGTTTGAGACGTCGAGGTCGTTCGAAGACGTGAATAACAGAATCGCGTCGAGGAATTCATACACCAAAGACCCAGGTTGCATATCTTTGGTGTAGTCTACGAAATACATGATGAAGGCTTGCCCGCATTCCGACATTGCTTTCGCGCTGTCGACAAGGCAAAACGCCACGCTATTTTCTGACGCTGCATTGCGGTCTTGGATATGCTTTCCAAGCTCTATAAATTTGTGCATCACAATCTCCATCAGCTGCACGTGTTCGCCGCGACGGCACGCGTGCACCGCTTCCCGCACGACTTGCAAAGCGTACACCGAAGTAGCTGGCGCGAGTACTTCACGAAACGACCGGTCAAGCAACCCGTTCTCAACAAGAACTGCTGGGACCACAGTGCCATGTTCCATCCAGCTCGCGACAGTTTGCAGCAAAAGACCTCGCAGTTGCTCTTGCTCTCCGCCTGCATCGATCGCAGCCGCGATCGACGGAAGCACAGTTTGAACCACGTGTGCTGCGCACTCCGTCAACATGTCGTTACACTGTCCGCGTTTAGCCGGAGTACACTTGACACGCTTGTTGTTGACTTCTTCCGGGAGAACTTTCAGTGTAAGCAACACCGCAAAGTTTGTCACCCCAGCCGAAACGCTATCACAGACTCGATACTGTTGGTTTTCGACCAGCGATTCCACTGCACGGGCCACCGTATCGTCCCCTTGAGGCTCAAGGATCCGCAATAACAGGACGGCAACCGCGAGTGCCAGATACGTCTGCACACTGCGCTCCTCGTTGGTTCCATTGAGCCCAGTCAACACATTCCAGACATCGAGCGCCATCACTTTCAAGTCATGTGCGTACATCCCATGCCGCATGTCTTGGTCCATTGACGTCCAATCGACCAACTCATTCACATCAAAAGAGGCCACTGTCATGTACACTGTGGACGCAGCAAACGCGCGTTTTATACGCAGAAACGCGCTGTGGTCGGCATTTTCCATGTCAATGATTGGCGCTCGCAGTACGGCTAATGCTGTCTGCACAGCACTGGGAGAGCGCTGGAACTGCTGCAGTAGTGCGTCGGCACGTCTCCGCGTGCGCGGCGCGCTAAGCGGGTGGTACAATTGGCGCAGCGCTTCGGACACGACCGACTCCGACACATCCGCCATCGCGTTTCCTGACACTCGCACAGCGACGGCGTCCCGAAACTTGCCACAAAAATAACAATGGGATGCAAATGTTGTTGTGGCAGTACTGGGTACAACCCCTTTTTTGTTCGATGGTTGTCACTTGTTTGCTGGAGGGCACACTCACTCGCTCACATCTCTTTTTACGAGATGGAGAGCTGTTGGCCTGAACATTTCTTAGATAGTCCTTTCATACAACAGATAATGTCGTTCTACTGAACATGTTGAGGCAGGAGCGTCTGCTACTTCATCTTTGGCCATTTCCTACTGCGGTAAGCGCCAAGTCGACCTGCTTCATTGTTTGACGGGCTCAACTATTTCCATCCTCCGACATTCTTCTGCTCTTACACGCGCTGTTGCAAGAGCTACCGAACGACAGCCGTCCCGTCAAGCATAAGGTAGTGTGCATTCTGCCTGACGAATGCTGTACACGTCTCGGGGGTCACCGTAATGGTGTCAACGCGCGGTGCTGCGGCTACCAGAGTAGCACAAGTACCAATGCGACAGAGATTGGGCACTTATGTCCTTTGTGCGGCGGTGCCTTGTGCGCCCCCTGAATGCGTCGTGGAATCAGCGAAGGGCTCGTGTTAGTATTGCTGCTCTTCTTCTTCGCTGATTGTAACAACGCAACACTGATCGAGCTGCAGACGTCGGACAACAAGGCTGAATTGACAGCCTCCACCCCGACTTGCACGCACACTTTTGTACTTTTTTGTGAGGCAAGCGTCTGTTTTGATCTCGTTGTCTTGAACAAGAGCAGACAAAGCTTCGACTTCTCGATTCTTTTGGTCCCGACAATACTGGCATTCTCGATCGTCGAGACGTATCCGTGTGCCTTTGTATCGCTATCGATCAGTTAATCGACTCTTGCAGCGTGCTGCAGACAATTTCGGTTTGTCATTTTCCGTTTGTCAATTTACACGCGCGCATTCAGGCGAGATTGCGTGTTGCATCGGTATGTCAATTTTCTTTATGTATACCAAGCCGCCCACATGTGTAATCTTCACTTGTCTTGAGCAAACGATGCGCCTCGTTCAGCAGTAGAGGTGCATCGATCCAGGGAAAGTGTCGCGATGACGTCATGTTCATACCAATGCGTGCAGTATTATCGCGTGGAGAAAACGATCCAAGCCAGGATTCCGAGTGCTGGGATCAAGACGTACGATTGCAACGTCCGATTGTGCAGGAATATACAACATCGAACTGGTCATATCAAGGGTTCAGCAAGAACGCAAAGGGATGACTATCTTTTCAGCTGAATCTGATTGTGACGTATTCCCAAGAAATACTTGAATGCCTCCAGTCAATCTTGCCGGCTCGTTCGAAACGATCGGAGCAAGGGAGGGAGGCAGCACAAGATAGGGCGGTTGCCAGACACGATGCGTTGGGTCTAGAATGTGGCGCTTCGACGGTGCTAGATCTAGCTATCGACGACTTCGAATGCATGATGCCAGCTGATGGGTCTAGCAGAAGCACCGTTGTAACGACGTCGTTCGCGAAATGGGTTTGCGCGCTCTTGGTGTCACACAGTGCAACAATCGTCGGCTTTCAAATAGAAACTAGGCATCTCACTAATTGCTAACCGAGACCATTCATCTGTCGTGGTGTCAACGTGGCCGTAGATCTTAGTAAGACGAAGCTTCAAGTCGAAGCATTTGCTGCTTTTGACCTTTACGCCTTATCTTAGGTATGGCACATACACAATGTCATGCAGCAGCTGGAGAATGACTGTCACAACGTCAAGGTATTTCGATTCGACGCAGGAGACAGTAGAAATGCGCTTTGTACGCGACGAACTTAGCCCGAATCCTGCATCGTCGTAGGATGATCAGCTCGGATATTGTCTTGTTACTAGCCGAGATGGATTAGCCCACGTACCTTATCGTGCCAAAGGTATCATCGTTCTGGAATCACAGCAGGCGTGGGAGAGATCATGATAGATGCCCGGATCTATAGATGGCAAGCTCTGTGGCGTCGATTGGTGGAGTGAACCGACCCACCCGCAAGAGTATATACTGGAAACTGGACAAGGCTATGGATGCGCGTCGTAGGATATCATTGTCAGAATTGAGCACCGCTCCAGTTTTCCCTTGCTCTTTTCTGTCATTATTGCTGTTAGTGTCTTTGTTTCGTTGACGAATATATGCAAGCGTTTTGGCCTTTCCGATGACTGCGCATAATACCAAAGGTCCCTCTCTATACGTGCACAGGATCGAGTGTGGTGCTTTACATTGTCAGCGATACGAAAACTGCACGCGTCAGCCAGTTGCTGCAGCGATATGGCTACCAGCACACCGTTACGACATTATGGATCCAATGCACCTCTCCTTTACAGTTCAGTGAGTAGAATGCTTTTTACATTTCTTCATTCCCCATGTAATACTCATGTTGTCATGGTGCAGAAGCAACTGTTGTGAGGATTCTATACGGGCAGTCTAGGAGCTGAGTAAAATTGAGTAAAATTGACTGTATGCTGCGATTCCTACTCCTTTGATGACACTTCGTATAATTGGATACACCGCGTGTAGGGATTCGACACGTCGAGAGTGTATCACTCATCCAGTCGAATACTTCATGTCCATTCAGATTCGTTGAGTAGACTTAGCGACGACTGTCCGTACGTGAAAATAATGTCTCGTATACACGCCGTGTTTTGTTGCTTTCCCGCAATGGTGTCAATTGCAAAATAGCATATCCTGCATCCATGCATGCAACTTCGCAATCTTAGCTGACCCTGATAGCTGGCAAGCTGCCAGTACCGACTTCTAGGTCCTTTTTCGACCATTAGGTGTCGCCATTGTGATAAAAACACTTGTAGCAGGATGACAGCCTTACCTTATTATTCGCGACTCAGCTGTAAAATGTCGCAGCATTGGTCGAGAAGCATGTGCATGGAACCGGCCATAAAATAAGCCACTCAATTCGCAAGAAAGGGTTGGGGATGACTTCAGCCTATCGGAGATATATGGTAGGAAAGAACGCGTTGTATTCGATTCGTCTTTTTCGGGAAAGGCAAGCATTGATAGCCCACTTCGCATAACAGTTTGCAAAAATATCCTCGTGAATAAGCTCGCTTGCTCGCGAGGTGGATCGAAATGATACGAGCACTCCTTCATGCAGTGCTTATGGCTTCTATCCTATCGGTTGCAGTCAGCTACAAAGATGGTGAGCTTGAGGAGTCCAACAGCACACATCTTGATGGCAGCGACTACTGGATTCACGATACCTCGTATATGTACCGTCCACGTTGGCATCGATTACCGGAAGGCAAGATTGTACTACTCAATGATTCGACTTGCAGTAACTGTCCGGAGTATCGTGCTGCAGTTGAGAACAACTCGTCATGGATTTCCAAATGGATGCTTTCCACTGAGGGTCATCGGACACTACATAAAGACGTACCTCGGCTTCTGTTGTACAACCTCGTATCTCCAATGGACTACGGACGATCATTGCGATCGGACAATGTGCGTCGTCGTCGCAACAAAGCGGTGCGCATGTTTCTGGCGGATAACTTGGCGCTCCCGCTCGTCAAATCTCTCGGTCGGGTAGCTTGGAATCTCATTCAGACTCATTATATCGACACTCTCAAAGACGAACTGTTCGTGCAGCGCTTAGCGATGATGAACGCGAGTGAGATGATACAGGAGCTCAACATTTCGCTTTCGGAAGAAATGATCGAAGCGATAGGATCTGAGGATAGGTACCGGCAGAATACAACGAAGGAATACAATTATAACGGAGCGAGTACGCGAGCCTCATTGTATGCGCGGTACTCGACAGCTTTTGCTCCGTACGAAGGTTATTTGGACCGCTATTACACCCGGGACGATACTTTCTCTCCGCCCACATTTCCTGCTGACAGCTATCCGTGGCTTTGGTCGCCACAGCTAGACTTGGCACGGATGATCGCGACACAGCTGGTGCAGTCATTTGATATCGACAATGATGGAGCCGATGTGGTGAATGCCACTTTAAGTGCTGGAGAACAGGTTGACTCCTGCTCGCTGAATGGTGCTGGGAGCGGCACACGCTGTCAGAATCTTTCGCGACAAGCCGACGTATTTTCTTCCGAGAACAAGCTCCACGCGTCGACATCTGCAAGCGAAAGTACTGCTAAGGAAGGGGCAAGTTCGACTTTGCACACTGACGACAATAACGTGAGCGCAGACGATATATGTGCGCTGGATCGAATCCACATGCAGCTCCAGGAGTACCACTTTGACACGGGTATCCCTCGTCTAGCGATCCGCCCAAACGTATCACACTCCGTCTTTCCTTCGTTTGCAAATTTCCTTCGGGCGTCAATCGGTTCAAACGCAGCTGCTAACGTATCTACTCAATCCAGGTGCAGCAGCTCCTATGATTTAAGCAAAGCTAAGATGGCGCAACCGAGGTGTTCGGAGATACATGTACACGACGATGGTACTGGCCTTGGCAATGTGACGGACATTTTGTCGAGATGCGAAGTTTACGCTGCACTCACGCACTATTACACGTACCCTTCTACCGATGGTGATGGAGACGATAATACAGGTGAATGCACTATGGAGCAATTGTGTCGTATGCACTCTGGAGTGACGGTATACACGCCGTCACTAACAACGGCTAGGCTGCTTCCTATTTTTGCTAACACAAGTGTACCCTCGACCGCGAAAAGAGACATTCGGTTGAAACTGTTGCTGGAGACGGTTTCGGTGGCCTTTGAAGCAGAGAAACGAGCACTACAGCACGGGCTGCGAGGTCCATCCACTGTATGGTACTCGAGTCACGACCTTGATGTGGACGAATTTGCTGATGCCGTACTGGGCGCGTTCAACCTGTCTATCAGCACGGATACTGGAGACAACGAATCTGCCTCGCTGCATGTCTTCGAGCACCACATGAATGAACAAGTGCCAATCCTGGACGAGGAGATTTCGTACTACGCAGACACGAACTACGACACAAAAACCTTCATGAAGCTTGACCGCACTACTTCCAAGCCAGAGAATTTGGACGAAGAGGAGTTGGTCGTGATAGTGGCCTCGCTAGCGAAGCAAATGAAGGAACTCGATCAATCGATCGCTATTTATGTGAAAGCTCGAGCTGCAAACCCGTTGTACCAAGAAGTTGTACATGCCACTATCCGTCAAGACTTTTACAACGGGAGTGAGTACACAATGATCGGCTTTGGCTTCATCTTACCAGCGACAAACGACCAGAACGTGCTGTATTACGACATGAAACTACCAGTTCCGTTTCACCTTGTCATCCGTCTGATCGTGCGCTTCCAAGAGACTCGTTTGCTGCTGCCACGAGAGTCACGGCAGCTTTTAGTGTGTCTAGCGATGGCAAACTTTGACCTTTCATTTTACCGCTGTCGAGCTGCTACTACGTCGTCCACCGACTAGAAACTTAGAGATGTGTGCGTCCATCTTCGAGGTCGTATCGATCTTTTTACGATAGAACGCAACACGTCTGAAGCAGGACAAGCAGAGCCTACATTTCCTTGCTTCATCTTCATTTTTCATCTCCTTTATCGTCTGATACACTCTTTGCTCGCTAAAATATTACCGGTTGGCGATGTGGTTGTCATGGCGACAAGAGACAGTAGGCACACCAGATCGTTGCCATTAGATGCGAACCAGGTGTGGCAAGAAACTGCTGAGCACTTTCGCATGACGCTAATCAATGTGAATCGTCAGCTATGAGGTGGAAAATGTGCTCGTCAAGGATGAAGAAACAGCAGGCGAGCGTCATGTATGGAAATGATCCTCAGTGCATTTGTTGGAGTTGTGGATGGTGTAGTCAAGGCTTGTAATAGGAGAAGGAAGAGATAATGAATCATGTGCTCATTAGTGAGCAAGCTAGTCATGTCGCTTAAATAGAAGGAAGGCGTTTCTTGTACAAGCCGATGATGGTGCTCACGGTAGCCACACCAGAGGAAGGAGCGCAGACGGCATAACCGCATGTTTGAGCAATATGATGATATGTACGGGGAAAATAGTGGTCGAAAACATACATCGTGGATCAATGGACAAATGCTGTCATATTGCTCGATCGATCGGTGCCTCGCGACGGCAAAAACAGTTGCCCGTGACGAGCTGATGGAACGCACTCATCTTGGAAGAAGAAAAAAACAGCTGACGATGCATGCCTTCTCGGACGACATCGATAATAGGCTGCTGTGGGAAAGTAGGTTGTGCAAGACCTTTTCATGCAATGAGAAGTCACTGCAAGCAGATATCCGTACACTATCATTTGACGGCAAGAAAATGACCGGTTTGAGCGTTTAGCTCAGATATTGGTAGTATACGATCTCTGAACTCGATTGAAAGTGACTGTTGTCGATGGTGGAAAAGCTGTTACATGATCATGATGCCATCAGATTACCAAAGTAGCCCGCTGTGCGCTCAATGCGGTCAACAGCAACGGAGCGTCAAGTGACTAAAAGCGACGAAGCTTCATCAACCTCTTGAGTGCGTCTTGGTTAATTATATATGATAAGGGATTCATGGACGTAGCTCGTCGACTTCATGTACGATAAGCCTAGTCGAACAACTGAAAAATGAGGTAGTGGCTCATGTTGAGCTTACTAAGATGAGGTATGTTCGTAACTAACAAAGCCAGAATAAACTTGGCCTATAGTCGTTCACGTCTACGGTGAGACTGTAGAGGAGCTACACAACTCCTTACGTCATAGGAAGACTTATCGCTCAATGAGCAACTTTGGTTCTACGAACCCGACTCAAAGAGTCAACAGCTCCGAGAGCTAAGGTTTGGTTCAAAGAACCCGACTCAAAGAGTCAACAAGCTCAGAGAGCTTACGGTCCCTGTTCCAGGGGGACCAAACGATTCAAAGAATCAAACGCACTGAGTGCACAAGGAGTAGCTGCCTTAAAAAGGCGTTGCTACCTCCTTAGCGATCGCAAGACAGCTCAGAGAGGCACGTGTCTTTTGGATCAAAATGGGAACTGAATTTTATTTCTTCTTTTAACCTAAAAGAACACCTTAGAACAAAGTAATTAACCTACTCACTTATGTCCTAAATAAACCTATTAAAAGATCTTGTAATCAATGGTTGACAGACATCAGTCTTCAATAATTAATACTTGTCTTCGAATATTATTTTAAAGGGGATCCCATCCCTTGTGTGTACCACATCCATTGTCGACTACCAGTCGACGTGGAACCCCGTTACACCCTCCCCCACCAGACTGACGTTATCACAAAACGTCAATCGAATTCTCTCTTTGAAGAGGACGGTGTGTGTGCGCTTCAACCTTCACGGTTGGCAAAACACGTAACACTACGGCATCGCCACCCAATGAGTCCTCGACTATCTCTTCCTATCTCGGAATTGATGTATAGATGGATTATGGTAGCGATACCGATATCCATGGTGAAGAGAGGACAATGTCCGACTCACCAGTGCAAGAGGCACCGCCTCATACTGCACCAATCCCATTTGCCGAGCGTGGCGAAGCCAACGCGCCATCGGCGCCGCATCAAACACCCATCGTGGGCGATGTAATCATCACCAATCCGCTCGATGAGCAACAACAGTTCGCTATCCACTGGGAGGAGAGCGCTCAGCGCCGTATGCAGCTTTCTGATACCCTTGAGGGTCGCCGTGGCTATCTGTTCACCCCACTCGGGGTGGAAGAGCGTATACGCCAAACGACAGGTCGTTCTCTGGCAACGTGAGCCATTGGCTCCGAACCAACATCTTCTGATGAGGTGGCGAGTCGACAGGTACTTCGCGAGAGGTACCTGAAACCTTACTTGACGACTCAGAGTCAATTTAAGTTGCGACTTGACACGCAAGCACAGGGTGCACCGGTTCCACCGATGAAGGGTATACCCATCCTCCTATTCGCAGGAGAATATCAGGAAGAAGAAGATAAAGCTTTCGTTATCTAGGTGCATCGGAAATAACACCTCAGCAGCGTGTTAGCTCTCAGAGCAAGTGCCAATGTGGCAGATGTTCGTCTAGAACGAAAGGTTCGGTATATTTTCGCCAAGCTTAAGAGCAGAGGCCAGTTGCGAACTCGCACACGCTATACTCCTGCTGTGCCGATTGATGTGGGTGTTGGTCAAGCGGTACCCAACTATCCACCCGTCTCCACCACTATTGGTGATAAGCGCTCTCGGTCGAGGGATGACCCTGCCACGATGTTCAAAAACATCAACGGCGTATGGGCAATCCTGCCGAAGGGGTGTCTCAAACTCCCACGTGTTCTCCGACTCCGGGTACCCTCGCCCCTTCACCGGATACATGTATTGACCCCGAAGACGACGTCGTTTCAGGAGTCGCTCCACATGGAACTGGCGGTTCCCTTGATCATCGAGCAGCGTCGGAGGTGGTCGGTATACCGAAGGAGGAGCATGAGAAGGTGCTTCTCGAAATGAGTGGTCTCCGTGAGACATTAGGTAAGACCCAGAGTGCGTTTGACGCGATGCGAGCCCGTGTCTAGGTGTTGGAGTTGGGCTAAGCCCGGATGGAGGCTCAGCTTAACTTCCTGATACGGATTCAGCTACCGATGGCAAGGCCAACCTAACCCGGCGCAAGCGCCTCCAAGCTCACGTGGGACGGATCCCGATACGGCTTAAGCAAGCCAACGTAGAACACGGGGTGTGTGCGCAGTTTGCACGGAAGGTTGAGCGTATATGCAAGTCCCTTCTTGGCGACGACCGTGATAGGTCCAATGAAGCGCGGACGCAACTTTGTCTTGAAGACGGCGGACACTACATTTTTAGGTAGATTTTTAGCATTGAGTAGAACTTGGTCTTCGACCTCATAACGTTCAATACAACCTCTGCCTTTAGCATCAGCTTGTTCCTTCTGCTTGTCTTGACTATCAGACAGTGCGTCACGCACATGTCGTAAGACATTCAATCGCGTTGCGAAAAACTCGCTTACCTGTTTTTGAACAGTAGCAGGGCTGATATCAGCAAGCCGATCGGCAACTCCTCCCCCACCAAGCCCTGAACCACGTAGTGGTAGCGTTAACGGAACGCGAGGGTGTGTGAGACCATTCACATAAAACGGTGTGTAGCCGGTGGAGGAATGCACGGCGTTATTTAACGCAAACTCAACGACAGGGAGCATCGAACCCCAACGATTTGACTTTTCAGCGCTAACACTGCGAAAGATTTCACCAATGATGCGATTCACTCGCTCGGTTTGACCATCAGCCTGCGAATGATCCGCTGTGGTTATGTCCAAACGTGTGCCGAGCACCTTGAAGACGGACTTCCAAAACTTTCCAGTGAAGCAAGGATATCTATCAGAGACAATTGCCAACGGCAAACCGTGTTGTCGAAACACGCGATCGATAAAAAGCGTCGCTGTACCTTCAACATCAATGGTATCCGGCACCGCCGCTAAATGAGCTATATTGCTCAAACGGTCAACAAAGACCACATTACCCGTATTTCCATACGAATCCTTCGGTAATCCGAACAGGAAGTCCATACTGATGGACTCCCAACACCCCTTGAGTATAGGCAGACTAGCCAGCGGCGCGGCCACGTGAGGTGATGGTTTCACCCGTTGACGCGTTTTACACGTACGCACATATGTGCTCACACATTTGTATAGTTTGGGCCACCAATAGCATTGGCTAATTGAGCCGTGGGTCTTCTCACGACCGAGATGACCACTCAACGCAGTATCATGTGCCTTATAGAGGATCCGATACTTTAACTCCTCATCATGAGGGACAACGATACGAGGGGTATCGTCCACATCCGTGCTATAGCACAACAGGCCCTGATCGATGGAATATCGATGCAGCCTCGCACGCAATCGTGCCGACAATTCCATGTCCGAGTCCTTAAACCCCTCTCTCCCTATAGCACGTAGGAGAGCTACACAGTGTTCATCCTTGGCATATGCCGAACAAATAAGGTCAGTGACCGACGACGACAGAGTCGTAACATGAGCAATCTCATAGTCAGGCCTGCGTGATAACGCATCAGCCAAAGCATTCTGCTTGCCCGGCTTATACTTCAACTCGAAGTTGTACTCGGCAAAGAAGGAAAGCCAACGAGCCATTCTCTGAGAGAGGTGAGGCGACTGGGTCGCAGTGCGCAATGACGCATGATCGGTGTAGACCACGAACGGCTTAGATCCAAGCAGATAAACTCTGAATTTGACGAGAGCATGCTTCATTGCAAGTAGCTCTTTGTCATGAACAGGATAATTCTTTTCTGCAGCCTTCAGCTGCCGGGACTCAAACGCAATGACGCTTTACCGTCCATCAGAATCTGTCTGTAACAGAGCGCTGCCTATGGCAAAGTCAGATGCGTCACAGACGACACTGAAAGATTGATCAGGATCAGGCAAAGCCAAGATTGACGCATGTAAGAGACTCTCCTTTACTGCTTGAAAGTCATCATGCTCGGT